CAGTGTACAGTGCTCTGTGGGTACAGTCAGTATTAGTTGTTTTGTTACACACCATACCTTATTATAAAAATTGTATTCACTTATAGTACAACATATTCATCATACTTAGGCGTCGCAAATGCAATGGCAGTTATCTTAGTTTACTTTAACTCGACGTTAAACCCTTTTCTCTATTGCTGGAAGATTACTGAAGTGAGACGAGCAATGAAGCAGACAATCCGACAGGCACTTTGCTGTCCATGGAGTTAGACCATCCTCGAGTTATATACCATCGCATAAGTACTTTTAGCGCAAAGCTGACCGATAGAGAACGCTCGTCGCTTAAATTTTTGCTCTAGGTCTGTCGATGGTATTTTTTGCTAGTCACGTAAAACAAAATAAAGGAAAGGTAATGGAAACACAAACCAAAACTTTTAAAAAGTATTTTACATGCCACCAAACTTTACTTTGCATGCATATTAATTAAAGGAAAGATGTACTTGCACAAGAGAATATATAATCTCTTGACGTAACTTATACTCTTATGAATGTTATAAGAAAGCGAAAGAAACAATGGCTTTATCCACTTGTTTGGTAGATGAGTTGCATCAACCAACAAATTTTTTTTCTCTGCGGTGTACATTCTCCTCTCACAGCATCTCCTGGCACCTCGCTTCTCGAAAATATCCATATTGCTTATGAATGTTTTAAAATGTAATTGATAACGATGTAATAAAACAAACATTGTGTAAGTGGGTGCATGGATTTAAATCAAAACTTTCCTTTTCTTATTGAATTCTTTTCAAAACCTTTAATTTTCCGAGATTAAACGTTATACTCCATCTTCTCCGCTCAGCTAAAGGTGAATTTCTACGTACTGAGAAGACGGCGTTTAAAATAATTGTGAAATGCTAATGGTATCAAAGGTGTCTGTCTGTACGTTTGACTCTTAAAGCTAATTTGTTCCTATTTTGGTGATTTTTCTTAATGAACTTTCATTGGTAGGGAGCTAATCAAGTGTCCATATCATCTGCGTGAAATTTAATACTTCAATCATTATCAGCCTTGACAAACTGAAATTACGAAGATCAAGCTGGCAACTTTGAATGCCGTAAGAAAAAAATTGGACTCGTAACATCTCCGAATGCACGAGATAAGAGCATGTGTAACCTGGCATTAACGTCCGAAGCCTACCACGCCGTTGAATCATGTAAAAGACTATCGTCATTTGCTCGATTGTTTAATGTGTGGGTATTTAAATTTAGCGCTGCGTGAATGAGATTTTGTTCCTGATGTGCACAAAAAGGTTCATATTCTCCTTCCTCTAGCGTGTGATTTAAACCTGGTAATAACGTCCGAAGCCTCGCGCGTCGTTAATTCATGTAGTTTTACGGGTATCTTTCTCTTTCCGTATTTCAATTCAACGAAAGGAGTTAAAAAAAACAATGGCGAGAGGAAATAGTCGCACACGCTCGTCAATTTCTCCCATTCGACTCGACTGTTCAATCCGAGTATATTTAAATTTCGCGCTTCGTAAGCAAGAAAGACTGAATAATCTCCTCCCACAATTTTGTTATGTTTACACAAACCGACATCTAATTGATACCTATTCATCCTTTTGTGTGATAGCAGGAGGTGAGATCTTTTCGCATAGTCATGTTCTGCTAGTTTATTTCTTTTTTTTTTTGCTCAACAGGTTACGTGTATTCAATCACATCATTGACGCTGTCAGATTCATCTATCAAATTTTAGGCCAATCGAATTTCGCGCTACGAAAGTTATCCTATTTTCTTAGTTTGCATAAAGCGCTGCGCAATCGCCTCCCATAATTTGCTTACCGTAGCGTAAATGCATAAGCCCAGCAAAAACTTAACACGCGAAAAAAATCACACCCCTTGATTCGTTAAATGCCGCCTCGCTTGATTGAGAACAAACATAAAGTCCAAACGTCCGCTTTCTACAAAGGGAATATTTGGGAAAACTGCTGATAGCTTTATAATTTTAATAAAGACTGTTAGAATCCGTCGTTATGACTATGTAAGCTCAAGCAAGACCTGCTTTTTTTTTCTCCGAAAGAGAATATAGAACAAACCAAAAAAAAAAAAATTCGCAACTTCTCCATTATGAGACTTGCGAGTAAAATATCACACTCTCGTCTTGCCGCGCGTTTGACTGAAAACGAGAGTAACTCAAAATAGATGGTCTCTCAAAAACTAGAGATAATTTCCTCGATCAGTACATCTTGTGTCATCAACATCGTTGCAAGAATTCTGTGCTTTTGTAAAACAGGAATCCTCTTCTTAGGTAGACTTGTTGGTTCCAGAAAGTAAGCGCTTCGTTAGAAAACAGCTGTGCGCCAGCGCCTGCTCTCTGCGAAAATTTGGAAGAGCTGTTGACAGCTCCTTACTTTTAACAAAGATTGTTAAAATCCGCTGTAAAAATCTGATAGTTTTTAATGAGAGAGACTTACTTTTAAGGAGGAACTGCTTTTTTTTGCAAAAGATAAATAAAAAAAACTCGCACCTTCTTCATTGTGAGACTTGTGAGAGAAAAAATATCACACCCTCATCTTGCCACGAGTTTGATTGAAAACGAAAATAATTCTAATAATTCTCGCAAAGACTAGAAATCATTGCTTTGATCAGTATATCTTGTATCATCAACATAGTTACACGAATTCGATTGTATTTAACACCAGTATTAAAACCAAAAAATATATTTGTATGTTGAAAAAACTGACTGGTAAAAACCAGGCGAATTGACTTACATATAGAGAGAGGTGGTTAAAATGAGTCACTGCAATAGGGATAAATTTAATTATTTTTGAGTTTGCGAACCTTTGGCTCGATGCGCTAAACGAGGGTCAAGTCTACCCCTGGGTACAACGATGGAGATTGATTTTACTAGTGCATATTTACACTACCCACTCCCCCAGTGTAGCAAAATTATCACTCCGATAATTTTCTCGATCAGTTACGAGCTTTTCCGCCTCCCTTCGGCCAAAGTCCCTCAGGACTACCAATTACTCAGGAATTTTGTTTGGAAAGTTGACCCGGAACAATGGGCCATTTCTTTATACGAGGAGAAAGATGTATTCTGAAAACAAAGAACGAAATAAACTAAAGAGGATTGAATGAGGAAAAAAAATAATAAAAGAAAACATCTCTAATCGCAAATCAAGTGCAGGTGTCGAGGAAATATCACCTGGTTACACATAGAGATAAAAAAATATATATGTGTAAAGAAACCCGCAATTGTTGAATTTCAGACTCTCTTTGTAATTTGCTACACTTCGTCACAATGAACTGTTTATAAGCCTCAAAGCAACACAAAATTTTGTATTATTGTAAGGAATGAATTTTTGTTGGTAGTTGAAAGGCGCGGGTGTATTTGAGAACTGAAAAGGTATTTTTAAACACATATTACAACTTATCAAATTCTAATTCCTCATTAAAGCTGTTAATAAAAGCAAAGGCTGCCAGCACTGAAAAGAATGGCAAAAGTTCAACTGTAGACTATGTCACCTTTTGCCAAAGTTCATCGATGACGTAAAGCTACTGTCACGCAACAGTAGCCGTAACGCATAATAAAGTATTGATGAGCGTTATTTTATTTCCAATGTTCATGAAAATTTCAACGGTCTAGGAAAAGAACACGACTGATCGCTTCAAGAGGAAAACAGGTAAAGGGATTTAAGGAGCGGTAGTATATTTACAGAAATACATTGAATTTTACTACTGCTAGTCGGAGAAAACTTTGCCTGTGTGAACATTAATTGATCGCGGCGGTATTGTCCAGCGTTGGACTTCGAGATGAGGAATAAATATTTTCGATTCAATTGCTGATAGAAACGTAACTTACAAGTGGATTGGCGTCTGGGTAACTGAGTCAACATTTACACTAGGGATTTTCGAGTTTCAAACTCACGCGACATCAAATAGTAAATTCGTTCTGATTCGATTTCAAGGAATATTTGAAGAAAGGATGTGATCTTTTGTTATCATTTGTCCAATATTATTCAAAACTAGATCAGTCTGAAAAAATATAACGAGCTTTGGGAGGACGTAAACTGTTTTGCCTCCTCTGGCTTGATAATCTAAGTTACTATACCGAACAATTTTGAATTGTTTTGAAGAGGGTTGCTTCGTCACGCGATCTCAAGAATTGTTAGAATAAATCTGTGCTGAATTAGGAGCATGGTTTTACAACATGCTTAACGATTTCGATGTGTTTTCATTCATATCTCTTGGGACCCGCCTCCGTATCATTTTCTCGGTCCTAGTTCTTTGTTTACGACTTGAGTCGTCAAGCTATGCAAATATTGGAGAAATCAAAATGTTTTACATATTAGTCAGACGGTCACGTCCATGTAGTTCAAGTCTTTAGCGCTGATACAATTGAATGAATTCAATTATCAGGTATCAGTTCAATCAGCATACTGCGCTAAATTATTAACGTTCTTGAAACAATGCGTATTCAAACTCAAGGACTAGTTAGGTGACGAAGAGAGGTGTTTTCTTAAATCTTTAGATTTTAATTCTTAATTTAATTTAATTCTTAATTTTAATTCTTTTTTCTTATTCTTTAGATTTGGACAGCCAAAGGAAAAAACGGAAAGAAAAAGGGAGAAGAAGATTTTTCAAAGAGCGCGATGTCTGCAAGTGGTGAAAAGTTTGTGAGTTCTTTTTTATTTCATTCATGTACTAAAGCTTTAATGTGATCCCGGAAGAATTAACCCTACTCCAGGCGTGTTACTTGCATAAACCCAGGTTCTGTCAAGTAAACAGTCGATCGTGTGGTGCAATCATCCAGATGGGAGCAGTCCTAGAAAGGACATACACTGTTGTGACAGTACGTGACGTTTCAGCAAGAGGATATCCTAATCGGTCAGTTTTGCCGAGATACTTTTAGCTGTAAGACTCATGTGACCCTCATCAAGTGGGTCTATAGGCAAGTTAGACAGAAAGGAAGTTTGGTACATCAAAGCGTAAAAGCAAAACCTTGTTGTTTAATATTATCTTTTATCGGTTTTGCAGTCTCCTCATAGCCACATCCCGTACGGAACAGATGGGTCTGGGTTCTACTCAGATAACACCATTGGATGTTATAACGTAATCTTAGAGTCCGCGCCTCTAGTACTAGAGAGTGTCAGATCAGTTTTAGTGAGGCCTAGGTCGGCTTTCACAATTGCAGACTACGGATGTGCAGACGGGGGTACCTCTATGCCATTGCTTTACGCATGCGTGAAAGAATTACGAAAAATTCATGGTGACGATTTGCCCATTCAAGTGATTTACGAGGATCAGCCCGTCAATGATTTCAAATCCTTGTTCCTTCGTCTGCAAGGTTAGTCTTTGAAAATTTGAAGCTTTTCTTCGATCCGCGGATGGGTTTAGTCAGTGCTTGAGTCTTCTGTGGCAGTTGACTCGCCCCTCATACTCTCCTTCGCTCCAGCGATAAGAAGGCCTGCTCTGCGGGCTTTAGAATGAAGAACCAGTACATCGCGGTCCATAATTCTCTTATCTCTTCTTTGCAGGTCTAATACCAGGCCCAAAAAGCTACGTCTCAGATTTCTCCAATGTATTCGTCACAGCGTGCGGCACAAGCTTCTACAGTCAATGTCTTCCTCCTGAGTCTCTAAATTTGATATTTTCATCCACTGCCATGCACTGGCTCCGTGAAAAACCTTGCAATGTGACAGGGGCGTTACATCACACTATGATCACCCTTCCGGAGGAGGCTGAGAAATTTAGGAATCAAGCCGCAAAGGACTGGGAAACTTTGCTACTGGCGAGAGCGAAAGAACTAGCACCAAGTATGATTATGGTGTCATACTGATAGGGAATCACGCAACATCATTTTTGATTCGTGTTAAAGGCGCTCTGTGACCCTAACTGAATGTCAACTTTCATAAGTGTCAAGGATACTATTCAGTTAAGCGCCACACTAAGCCGTAAACGGTTGGTGCATGGTACTGTTTTAAATTAAGAGGAATACAATCTCGATGTCTTCACTTTTTTTTCCGGCCATTTACCCCTCATTATCAGCTAGTCAAACTTTCCATTCGGGCTGTTAAACTCCTACGGTATCTCAGCAATTCTGAATGACAGGGACTCTCTATAGGGACTTTCTTTCGTTTAATTCAAATTTTGCCCACTTGTAACCAAAACTCATAGCTTCAAGTGGTAGCACTTATCGTACAGTTATCTGCAATTTTCCCTTGATCCTCTCCTCATCCAAGCTATCCTTAGTGGTTAACTTCAGTCTTTGAATTATTTTTCAGGTGGCAGAATGGTTCTTGTTCAGTTTGCAGTTGACGGTGAAGGACAATACCTTGGGACAACGAAGAACACACCAGCCTCCATGCATCACACAATGAAAGATTTGTGGAAACTATTAGTTCACGATGGAGTCATAACACAGGTCAGAACCAAAAGTGCCTCTTTCCCTCCTCTCTCTTCCCCCCTCTCCCCCCCCCCCCACCCACACACACCCTCAACACCTCAACATGACAAGTGTGGTATTACAGGGACCCCTGGTCCTCTCGAGCGGCACAATTTCTACTGGCCGCAGAAAGTGGGCCCTTTTGTGTAACTATCTCGCTTCGCACTATTGGCTATTTTCAGGTTCTCGGATTTCAGGGGTGCGATAGCGCTTCCATTTTTAAATGGTACAAAAACAACTGTGGTAGTATTCTAAGTTGTCATGAGAAACTGTCCGATTTTATCTCTAAGAAAGCACTTTTAACTGCTGTCTTTGTGATGCCGTTTTGGCTTTCCCTTCCGCGGAGTTTTACCCAACTTTATAATCGACGTGATTTTGTTCCCAAATTCTAAAGGCTCCTCGGTAATTATTTCAGCCACTGTCAGGCTTTAGAGGTCAATTATTCCATCCACCGAAACAGATGGACTTTACTATGTTTGAGGGAAAAATATCATTGATTTCTTGATAAATGTTACGTATTGGTGACCGAAATGCAAAAGGTATTTTCGGTCTTGTAGTGAATTTTAAACACTAAGTAATTTATATTTAATCACTTTGCAATTAGGAAGAATTCAACAAGACGACATTTGTCAACTATTACCGCACAGTAAATGAGTTTAAAAAACCATTTGAATCCGCGGACTCGCCCGTTCGAAAAGCTGGTTTGTCTCTCGTCTCCATAGAAACCAAAGTGGTACCCTGCCCTTACCGAGAAAAATGGCTCAAGAACGGTGGTGATCCTAAAGCGCACGCACGTTGGTTCATTCCCACGACAAGGACTTGGAGCAATGCGACATTTACGTCTGGTAAGACGTCATTTTTCATGTTGTGGTCTTTCACATATGTATCAAGAATGACTAGATTACCTCAATATCGGAAGAGGACTTTAATCGATGTGGGGAAGTTATTGTATAGTATGGTAACCAACCTTACTGGTTTTAAAACGTTCCCACAGGCCTCTCTGAATCTCGCTCTCCAGAAGAGAAGGACGCCATTGTCGATAAATTCTTCAAACTTTACGAAGATCTGGTTGCCAAGCATCCGGAAGATCATGGGATGGATTACGTTCATGCCTACATAGTTATCGCGAAGAATTGACCGACAAGTGTCATTTGATTTAGATTACAAATAACTAAGGCACTCTCGCTCGATAAGTTCATATGTTCAACCGCATATTTTTGCCGTGAAGTTGTTTGTTTTCAACTTGTAGGGACTAAAAGGAAATAATTGATTTAAAACTGGTGTTCAGCTATTGTCAATGCCTATCGCACGAAATACAAATTAAGAAAAGTTCATCAAATAAATTGTTCTGTTTAGAACACTGCGTTGTGTACAAGCTATTACAGTCGATACGTTAAACGATTTGGGAAGATCCAACTGGTCATTTTATATTTGGTGGAAATAGCATGGATGTTGGTTTATATTGCTCTTTGGAGGTCAGCGACAGAATTAAATCCTTCATTTGACAGGCTTGCTGTTTTCGATGGTGGATTATAAAAAGTTGAACTGTATGAGGAGCTAGAAAGAAATTAAAAAAGTCTCCCAAAAAAATATTTTAAAAAAATTGTTGATGAACTCGCCATGCTCACCCTGTTTAGTACCGATCCCTTGTTGCCTTATTGTTAAAGTATCAAACAAATCTTATAACATAGCGCGCCTGCTTGCCCTATATAAGTCCTACTGAGCCGCTATGAACAAAATCTTTATTTACGCACGCCCGTGCGTAAATAAGATAACGTAAGCATATTTTAATGACACTTGAGTTCATTTGGCTTTGATTTTCTCCATTCTCCCTGTAAATTTTGAGCTTTTCATTCACAGTTATCGGTTAACTGGATCAAATGTTCTCGCTCAAACCAAAGTATAAAATGTGGCGTGTTTTTGACCAGCCAATAGGGACGTTTGCTTACTTTTTTTGTGCGTTGTGAGAATTTTGCACTCTATTGCAATAAAAGGCTTCTTCGCGCAGATCCTTGTTGTCGCTTTGTTATAAAAGAATTTGCTCATGCTTTTAGCTGTACGTATATCGAGTTATGGATACACTTGGGAAGTTTGGAGAGCACTCAAATAGCTAGAGTTGCTCTCGGCTGCGCCACGAGCTACTCTTACGAATTTTTCGTGCTCTACAAACTTCCCGCGTGTATCCATAACTCGATATACGCACGCTAAGCATGAACAAATTCTTAAATTTTCCATGTTCGGATTAAAGTAGAGAAACCTGTAGAATACGCTAATAACAAAAAACATTTAATAAAAGAAAGCTCTGCTTTACATTTCTTTTTTAAATGTGGATCGATCACTACTTATAACCTAGGGGTTGAAGGATTGTTTGTGTTAATAACAAAAACATTTAATAAAAGAAAGCTCTGCTTTACATTTCTCTTTTAAATGTGGATCAATCATTACTTATAACCTAGGGGTTGAAGAATTGTTTGTGTTAATAACAAAAATATTTCATAAAAGAAAGCTCTGCTTTACATTTCTTTTTTAAATGTGGATCAATCATTACTTATAACCTGAGGGTTCAAGGATTGTTTGTGTTAATAACAAAAACATTTAATAAAAGAAAGCTCTGCTTTACATTTCTCTTTTAAATGTGGATCAATCATTACTTAAAACCTGAGGGTTCAAGGATTGTTTGTGTCAATAACAAAAACATTTAATAAAAGAAAGCTCTGCTTTACATTTCTCTTTTAAATGTGGATCAATCATTACTTATAACCTGGGGGTTGAAGGATTGTTTTTGTTTAGATAATCTGATTCCCCCATTAGGCTTTGTAACATTCTAAAGGTCCCCCCTCCCCCCTCCCCCCCCCTGCCAATCAAAATCAATCGTCTACAGTCCCCCCTCTACACTCTTTTGGCGGCAATTGATAACCCTCTGTTCCTCCTGGGAGCCATTTGACCCCTCTCCCGCCCCCCATCCTTCCCCAAGGCGATAACTTACGCATGGTCCACAAAATTTAATCTATTCATCTGGATCTTCCTTTGGTAACTCATTATATCCCTCATTAATCGCCCACGACTGTTTTTCGCCTGAGCCAAAAATGACAAAGAATATGGCGCCAAGAACATTCATCGCTGCGATGATGAAAAAGACGATTCTCCATTCAAGGGACGTCTGTTAGAAAAATAGGAAATAGTCTGAGTGTGTTAACTTGAAGTTACAATTTCTTCAGGCTAAACTAGGGGGGCTTAGGTCGGGTCGCGTAATTAACCCTCCCCCACCCCACCCCCTCATTGGCAATTGATTAAGAAAATTTTATTTTGACATTAACAAATCTTTCGATCCCCTCCCCCGGACGACAATGAATGGCCACCGCCTTAGTTACCTCACACAAATTTAGATATAAATATACTAAAACAAAAAGAGCACTCAAAGCCCCATCTGCGACTAATTAAATGTACGATTTTGAATACTAAACTTACGTGGTGTTGAACAATTAATCCAGTGACGATAGGGGCTAAGATTCCAGCCGATGATGCTGCTGTGTTTGTTATGCCAAGTAAGACACTAGCGAGAGGTGGGGCAATGTCGAGATGATTTACATAGAATCCACTACGAGCCAGTCCGCCAAGACCCACTCCTAATGTGATTAGTACTGCAACAGTGGTGGCATTTGAAAAATAGCCTAGCACTAAGAACGATATAGCCTCACTAAGGAAACCTAAGATGAAAAATACACTGGTATAACTACATTGATCTATATAGGTTCACAAAAGTAAAGAGGTTGTCTCGCAACCCGCAAATATTTGAAAATATAGGGAGGTAGAGAACGACTAATTTTTTTCTATCACCGTGAGGTGAGGGGGAGGGAGGGGGGGGGGGGTCGAAACTTTTTGGGATAACATGGTCCACAGGAGGAAATGTGGGCGATCAATTATTGCTAACCGAGTATACAGGAGGTAACCATGGAAAATTAACATCCAATGGGGGGATGGAACCATTGAAATACTATAGGGCCTTAGGGGGGATCAGGAAAAATTTAATGTCACACAATCAAAATCCCCCGACTTCACTGCCCCCCCCCCTCCTCCATTACTACCCATCATGATGATAAATAATGACTTGTTCCTCCTAAGTTTTAAAAGTAAAGAATTTCTCTTGCGAACCACAAATGCGCGAAAATGCAAGGGGTTAAACTAACAGAAGGACGGAAGGAGATGTTAACATAAAGAGAAAATGCTATTGGTTTTAGAGTATTAAGTTAATGTCTAGAAGAGAACTTAGCGAAACGACAACGTTATTATATGGTGTGCCGGGAAGAAGACACTACAGTGATCCCTGGTAACGGTCGGGGAGCTACTTGGAATATCAAGTGATCTAGCTAAGAGCATCAAAGAGATGACTCAGACAAGAGGTGACTTCGCTGAGTTGATGCAGGAACGTTTCACTACGCCCCTGTGATAGCCACGTCTGTCTTTAGAGGTATTTACAGATCAGACAATGCATATGACCTCTACCTTACGATCGCTTCAAATACCGCCAATGGTTGTAAGATGTCCTCGTTCACTCTTAGTCCTCGACGAAAAATTAAGCTTATTTCTTCTCTTAAGTCCGTCTTTGCAATTTTCTAAATGTATCTGGAGAGTCATTTACCAATTGTATTGAAGATCTTTCTCACAGTTCCGGTTGCAAGATGATGCTTGCGAAGATAATCAGCTATTTGACCACCAAGGATTAACATCACCAGTGTGACCACGTAAGGTAAGGACGATGCAGTCCAAGTCTGATAGAGAAAAACAGAAAAGATCATTCGTATTGTGGACCCCGGTATGAGGTGGGACAGAGGGGTGGTAGCCACAGTCCCTGGGATTTTTCGGACGATTTGTTTAGGAGGATTTTCGCTCAAAACCAGCCATTGACTGTAGCAAAGCATACTGTTTTTTTTAATGACAATTTAGACAAAACTTGGTCTACAGGTTTGAGACTGGAAGATAATCATAGAGAATTGAGGTATCGTTTCGCATTTCTTTGAGAAACTTTCTGGGGCATATAACATACTATGAAATAAAACAGTGATCAATGATTGTCGACCAACATAACCAAAGTAATCACAACCACCAGTCAAAAAAAAAAAGGTCAACATCATCACGATCCAATGAGAAATCAAAAACATGCAACCTGATGGAAGCGCGGGAAAACGCGACTGACCAAGATGAGATTGGTTTTTAGTACCTGCATTTGACTGGTTTAGAGAAGGTGCGAGTTTTCTAGACTAATCACAGAGCGAAATAAAGCAAAACTGAAGCAATCTTGGATCCTTTTTAACACTCAATTGAAAACTGCTCTGTGAGAATTTGTCAAATATAAGATAAATTCTTAGGCACATATGTTAAATCTAAGCATGTCCAAGATTCAAAGTTACAAAATGAGTAACTCAGCAGAAATGTCAAGTTTTAATATCTATGCCCTGTAGCTGGCACTGCCCAGAGAATCCCGTTACTCGAGAGATTGAGGGCATTGTTAATTGGCTCGGGCCTTACCTGTTTAAGATCAAGATGAAGTCGTTGTGTATAAAATAAAGGAAGCTCTGATATCAGCATGTAATAGCCAAACGAATGCGTAGAATGCGTTACAATAATGGCCCAGAATGGAAGAGAGGTGAAGATTGCTTTCCAAGGAATCGGTACATCCTAAAAACGTGATAAGCATGACCGTAAACGCCAAACAAAACGAAACAACAACATGATCTTGGTGAGAAGTAGTAATCATACGACTGAATTAACAAACAGGTACATGTATGCATGAATAACTGAATACATGAATAATTGAACCAAACAGAATGCACGCATACACGTGAGCATGAGCGATTGAGCCGCGAACTGGATGGATGAGTGGGCGGGTAAGCAGGTAGATGAATGGATGGACAGATGCAGAAAAGGTGGGATGAACGGATGAATGAACAAGTGGACGAATGGTTAAAAGAGGGAATAGGATTAAACAAAAAAATAAGAAAGTAATTAAAGAAACCAGAAATAAGTATAGGTAATCACATGATTTCGAGTGCAATTTGAAATAAGTAAACACGAGTTTATTTTTTCAAAGACTAACAAAATTTGTGCAATTTGTGATCTTTGAAAAATTTTATATGCACTTATTTATTCCAAATTGCACGAGAAATTATGTAATTAATAATTAATTAATCATGTAATTACGTATTGATAATATAAATGATAAAAATACGAGATAGCTTATCATAATTATGCAGAAGCAAAGCGCCCCCATCAAGTGCAAAAATAATTTATTTAAACCCTGCAAGTGACATTGTGCGTTCGGTCAAAACAACCGCGCACGATCAAAACAATAATATACAATAATACTTTCACATCTATAAGGCGCAAAAAAGTTCAAAGTCGGGTTAAGCAGTTCAAGAAATTGTTCAGTCTAGTTTGTTACTTCTTTGCACTGAATTAACCCTCTTCTGCATTGAATTACCTGAAAAAAATTGCATTTATCTTAACCAATCAGAACTAAGTAATTTTTTCATGTATCTTTCTTACGAATTTTGAATTACAAGAAAGTGGATGAAATGAGTGAAAAGTCCTCTAAACATTGCTTTTGTTTCCTCACATTCTCTTCATTTTATGCCAAAATTCACAAACATTTATTTTTTTACCTGACTTTGTAAATCTCCTGCTAAGCTAACTTTAATATATTCAGCTTCTTCTCTTGAGATCCACCTTTGTTGTGAAGGTGAGTTACTAACCAAACAGAGGCAAAGAATCGACCAGATAAGACCACTACTACCTGTTGAAATAGATTTTATCATTTACATCACTTAGGCGTCTATATGTCGTTAAGAACGTTCCTAGATTTTCGTTTCATTTATTTTTTAAATCTTTATCTTATTCTATTTGCTATTCCATACAGAGCAATTTTAACGAACGAGGTAATCGTTAAATCCAACCGCTGTCGAGAATAAGGTAAAGCATGTATCGTCCTCGACTAGCCATATGCCGTTTGCCACTTCTCGTTTATGACTTCGATTAGCATGAGCAAATTGAAGACTGCTTTGTAAATCTTAAATGGAATGTTCAATTCGGGACAATTTCTCCAACATCCCGTTTTACGATGAAAATCTATAAAAAGAAACGATTGAAACTGATTGAAATAACGTTATTTAATTGAATGACTTACCGAAGACATAGAAAATCCAAGACCAACCAAAATGAAAAGCAATGTATCCAGACAGAAACATGGACATTATTATACCTAAAATACCCCCTACGGAAATAGAACGAAATCATTTAAATATTCCTTAAGTCTTCAGCAAGACCTAACATAATAATTCCTACTAACCACCGTGTCAGAGGAATCCGCAGAGTAAAGGAGTTAAATTTGGAGCCATGCTTTGCTGCAAATGAGAATCCAACTTTCTTTCAGTTACTAGCGGTGGAAGGGGATGTGTCATTCTTACAGCAACCCAGTAAGGGCAATCGTACCAGCAGTGAAATCGTATTATCATGGGCACCCTTGGATCATCGTTTGGTGTCTCCATATAAAAACGAGTCAGTCTCTTGTAGCAAAGCAAAGCAAATTGTATAACCTAAGTCTACGTTTTGTACAGCTCTTAACCTATGATTGGCAAATTCGTCGCTCCATTGTCTGCTCCATAGACCCCTTTCTGCTAACAAACATCAGAACACGTCATTCGTTACGTTCATTAGAAAGTGTCCGTGGCTAAACGACTACACCGATCAAAATGTTCGTTTGAAACCACGCGAAGTGGTACTTATACTGTGATGTGGGAGATCATCACCATTCGCTCTCAGCGATTTTATCTGTGTTGAATAAAGGCGCATACGCAAGTGGCTCGAAACGATGTCTACCTCTTACGTTTTTTGATGCCACAGGTATTGGAGGGAAGCTCGTGAAAAATATTACCGTATAATAAGTGTGCGTGTGTTTGACCATTTCCTACAAAAGGACACCGACAACATTTAGATCGCAGGTTTCACTATTATAAACTGGATCCCTTTCAACTCACCCGCTACGTTTAAAGTTGCCAGTTTACTTCTTTCCAAGGGGGGCGCCCATTTACTCCAAAAAGCGTGACCGGCGGGATAAACAGGACCCTTCACAAATCATAAGAAATGATGAATGATGAGCAAAGTGACGAATTGTATTTCGGAAAAGTGTTATTCCTCATGGGGGACTAACGGGAAGCACAGATATGCGGTTTTTGAAATGCAGACGGAGACATTAAGGAAAGTTGAACAGTTACTGGCACATTTGGCATCCACCAACCAACTGAACTCTTTCGGTTAAGCATTTTTTTAACTTAACGCCACAGTCAGTAGAGCTGTATCAATTGTCAGGGAAACGAACTATTAACTTCCGACTGACGTCCTAGTCTCACAAATTCAAGTATTTAAGCTTCTAATAGCCGGCAACCGTATTGTTTTACTTTACAACTTAACGCAACAAATTCATCCAAGTGTCAATGTGTATAACTATAGTACAAGCTAATGGGGGGGTGGGATTACCTCGGCAAATCCTACTGCAATTCTCAGTGCAATGAACACTCCCACATGGGTCTTTGCAGCAAGAGGTGTGAAAAGGGTAAGGAACCCTGTGGCGCCAACAGACAGACCAAGCAATGTAGCACCGCCATGTTTTCGTGCCAAGTATCCTCCGGGTAAGTGCATAACAATGTAGCCGAAATAGAACGCACTGAGAATGAATCCTGTGAGAAAAGATCAAAGGAAATAATATTCTTACCATGATATCGTTAATAACTCAATCAGCAACCCTCATCGGGCAGAATGTCTATTGTTCTTTCGCTGAAAATTAATCAACATATACATATCGCTTCATATCAAGTCTACGGCAGTTTGATAAACAGCGGGTTTTTTCTATTATTTCTCGCTTAGAATTCGATTGTCTTATCGAAAAATACTTTCATCGTAAATGAAGGACAAAATAAAGTATCTGAATCGCTCGAACGCAAGTTTTTTCGAATCGAAAGAAACAAAGTACGAACGAAGTAGAGCATACGAACAAATTTGCTATCATAGGATTACAGTTTCCTTCAAGCTTTTTATGCTAGAGCTATCCTTGGACTGGAACTGATCATCAGTGCCATTAACATCAAAGTAAAACCGGACAGCTACTCGCAACACGACATTCGCAAAAGAATTTTGTCAGAAGAGGTAAATTAAGGGACAATGTCGAAATACGCCTCCAGATCGTGGAATCAAACAAAGAATCAAACGTCAGTTGGTTGGATACATACCTTGAGTTTTAGTTCCCCATGAAAACTCTGCGGGTTCCTAGACTCAAACAAGGCAATGAAAGCTTTGTAAGTTCCAGGTATATTTTCACCGGCTATGAATTTGCAGTTCGTATTAATGGGCTGTTGGTCTAGCTTAAACTCATCAAGTGGATGGAAAGGGAAGGGGTTATGGTGTTAGACGGTACAAGAAAATAAAATTTTGAAAAGAGAGGAGCTCGAAAAAGACCTTTTCCGTTTATTGGTTACGACAATCGCCCCAATAACGCAGTTAGAGTGATGAAAAGAAATTTACAAATACTCTGCCTTCTTGCCTATGTAATTTATCATAAAAATAAACCGAAAAAATTTGAGTAGATAGAGGCTTAAAATATCAATTTTGTTTGTCAGTCCAATTTGATGGGGCCGTAATAAATGTTGGTCGACGGTATTGGTTAGTCTATGCTTCAGTTGGTTTCAACCATGAAAACATCACTCGTTTCACATTCTAATCGCTTTCTGGTTCATTTGTTCTCTTGGCACTAGATCTGCTGTCATGTCTACTGCATTCCGTGCAACACTCAAATCTTTAATTTTATTAGTAAGTGTTTCTCGTCACAATTTGAAAGACTGAAATTACCTCTATTTCCATGCCACCTTTCATGAGTGTTTGATTACCAACCATAACAGCCAGAGCTACGCTAAGGTTAACTCGCATAGCGTAAACATTCGTAAAGCCAAGCATGATAAAAATCCCAATGACATAACGTAGTGGAAGACAACACTGGCACGTTTGGGTTACATCTTTGTCGTTTTCTCCGCTGCCAATACCATGCAGTTTTTGCTCGGTAGAATTCATTGTGAATACGCCTGTTCGGTGCAAACGTATCTTCCTCTCTGTCCCTTAATCCATTTCTGCGGAAGAGGGGTAAAAGAAATCTGCTGTTTTTACTTTCTTTCTTCTGAAACCCATCAACCAATTCAATAAACCCTGATAGGAAGATAATTTCTTTGGTACTGTATATGCAAATGTTTTTACTCTTTGGTACAATTGGCGGGTAAAAGCAAATGGCGAAGTACTCTTATAACTAACTATCGACTGTCTGAAATGTAAACTACATTGGATCAGTGGCAAACGGAATTTGACATGAGACTCAATCCACTTGCGACTTTAAAATGATACACAGTTAAGCTGGAGTAATTCTCCGTCATCGCAAAACACCTGGCTATCGACCTGGTCCAATTGTTTCGCATGAACGATAAGTACCAAGGAAATGAGGAATTAGCTTTGTAGCAAACTTTCCGTATAAGGACTTCATTGATCGAACGTGTTCGTGGTCAGTTACCTGGAATTTAGTGGCGTCTAATGTTCTTATGTGTTCCAAGTTTAATTGCGGCCACTGTTGGTAAGAGAATTGTAATTACCAAAACCCAGACAATATGCAAAAAAATTGTTAGGACTGATTTAATTGCATCATTTATTCAGCAGGAACTGAACCATAAAGCAATTATCGGGAACACCCGATGGGAATATTCGATTCTCCCATTGTTTGAGCTGATTTTTGATTCGATTGTGGATAAAGACCCTTTTGGTTAAGGAGACACGTTAGTGAATAAAAGCAAAACCAACATAAAAAAAAAAGACAAATATTTAACTATGAAAAAATTGCGATAAAATACTTCGTAAAACCATTACAATACATTTTAAAAGCTTAAACAAGGTAGTCGACGACGTTTCGACGTTAACGCAATGTCATCACCACCGATCAAGTCAAAAAATAATAAAATTATTCGGCTAGAAATTCTAAAAACAACAATGGGTACTGATTAAATTTTTAACGAATGTAGACAACTTACAGCCAAACAAAAAGTTTTGCACGAAAAGAGTCCGCTTACACGATCAACTTTGGGTTTGAGAGTTTTTTGATGAAAAGCATTCAAAATACTTTTTTGACTGTTCTTCTATCTCTATAATAATCTATTTAATTTTACTTATTGATATCTGTATTTGTATTAGTATTATCATATGTATTGTATGAGGCACACAAGTTTATTTGCCTTCAGGCTACCCTCTTTACATAAAGAGTTTACTTACCTACTTACTTACTAGTACTAAACAAAACGTACTTTGTCATTTCCTAAGAATCTGAAAAAGGCTTTTTTTTAAGATCACTTATACCGTGCATAAATAAGTAAATAAATAAATAAATAAATAAATAAAGCAAACAGATTTCATGTTTCCATGTGTCTGTCCAGTAATAGATCACAGATGTGCTAAGAACATCTTTAACACACTTGGCTGCATCTCATCTCGTCCAACATTTCTGTTTCTACCACATTTTGACGTCATCCGGGACCTACTACTGAACAGGCGCATGGCAACATGGAATGTACTTGCTAATAAAGACGGTGAGTGTGACGAAACGTACCTCTTAAAAAAATCGAGTGGAAATTCCAGTTATCTGAGGGTGCTCGGTACAACTTGTTTTCCCTCTGGGTAAAAAAGACGTGATAGAAGTGATCTAGTAAAAAGCCGAATTTCACCCGACTATGAGATGGCAGTTTTTTTTCAGTTCTTGCTGTAACACTGGAAAAGATGATAAACATCTCAAAATAATTTCATAGTGGCGTCTCCGGCACGTAATGGTAAACAAGACTTTTCCTTGTGGGAATAGCTAAATAGATTTGAGCTACGCCAATCTTTCTGTAGGTTTTATCGAACATCAATCAATTTTTTAGCCAATACCACGGCCCAAAACCTGAACTCTACGGCCGTTACATTGACGATTGCATCGGCGCTACCTCCTCTACCAAAGAGGAGCTCACTCAATTTATAACCGCCGTCAATACCTTTCATCCGGCTCTTAAATATACCTGGGAAATTTCTGACACTTCTTTAGCTTTTTTAGACATCAAAATTTCAATTGAAGGCAGCGGCTAGTGTTTACTACAAACCTACAGATTCACATAGTTACTTGTTGTATTCATCCTCACATCCATCACACGTCAAGAACTCCATACCTTTTTCACAGTTTCTCAGACTTCGTCGTTTATGTAGTGACGACTCTGATTTTTCCGAAAAATAAGAGGCAATGTGCCAGTTCTTCGATAAACGTGGCTATCCTGTTTCTGTCGTTCAAGCGGGCTACCACCGTGCCCAACAAATCGATCGACAGTCAGCACTACGAACGGCCGAGAAGGAGAACACTGACCGCATTCCATTTACTCTTACATTTCACCCTGACAACCACGCAGTTAAATCTATCATTCTTAAAAAGTTTAAATTACTCCAAAACGATTCAGAGACTGGCACTATCTTTTCGCAACCCCCACTTATTTCATTCAAACGTGACCAAAACATAGGCAACTTTTTAGTCAGGAGTTCATTTCAAACCAATGACCAATCTGGAACTTTTAAATGCGCTCGCTCACGATGCAAAACTTGTCCTTTCATTCATAACGTAGAGAAAATATCGGGACCCAAAAGATCCATTAAGATCATTGATCACTTTACGTGTACCTCCGCCAATGTTATTTACTGCATAACTTGCACTTATTGCAATAAGTTATACATCGGCGAAACAGGAAGACGACTGGGTGTATATTTTAAGAGGAATGCAAACTGCATAAAATATTTATGACACAAGAAACGTTTTATAAATAATATTGTATATTTGCTTATGCGGAGATCTTTATAAATTGTCAGAGAAAACAAAATAGATAATTTATAATATTTTACAATTTTTGTACACGACTTGAAATGTCGCATAATTTGGTGAGAAGGAAGACAACCACATTGTTGGATGTAAATAAAAGAAATATGTTTTTATTTCCTTTATAAAGCGTATTTTTCCTATCTATTTGACAGCTGTACACGTAGAAATAATTAAGGGTACAAGGATAGAACAAAATAGCTTCCAGAACTACCATTTCACCTTTCTGTGCCAAGACAGAAATAATAAGGACGCATCCAAACCAGTCGCTAGACACTTTAATATTCCTAATCGTTCTAAACAGCATATGGCAGTTTGCGGCCTTTCCTTACATCTAGGCAGTTCGGAAAGCCGTAAAACACTAGAACAAAAATTTCTATTCCAAATCGGCACCCTTAATCCCTACGGAATCAACGAGCGCTTTTCATTCAACTAATTTATTCCTGTTTTCTCGTCACCATATTCCCACCAATGGCGTAGCTCCACTTTCTGCATATAAATCCACACACAACCCACAATTCCTCTAATCGCTCTGACGAAGGGCTAACGCTCGAAACGTCAGCTTTTTTACCCTTTACGGTGGCTAATTTACGTTTTCAACCCAGTTGTTAACACTAAATTACCTGCTATACTCTCCCACCGACGCAGCACCACAGTTTCTTTAGAAACTTACCCCTTTATTAAATAGATTTGATCTGCACATCGTGGAAACTTTGAAAAAACTTTTATTTATTCGAAGAGAGAGCATTTTACAATTTCAATCTGCGACTAAAGCCTTAAACAGCTGCTAAATTTGCGGAGCGAACAAGGTCCGAAATACGTTAACGTGAGTTTAACAGGGTGACCCTACTAGACGGAATGATGAGAACAGTGGAATAGCGGAGTGGCAGAATGGAGGAATATTCTACAACATGGAATGCCTCGTTGTATGAAACAAAAGTCTCACAAAAATGAAATTGCAGTGAAATAAGAAAGTAATTCATAGCTAACAGGCAAAATTAAAGGAAGCATAGTTTAATCATGACTGGAACCTTGAGGATAGATCGATGGAGGAACAGTGAGCTTCTTGAGCTAGCCCCGATAAGTTATCATTACTATTACTATAGTTATCATTGTTATTATCATTATTAAAAGTATTGTTGATATTATTATTTGTTACCATTTAATCATTGGTTGATGGTCAATTTGTCACTATATTCTGGAATTATCTTTCTCTTGTGGAACGGTATACTCATAGATATGTGGGTTGCGGCAGGTTTTACTGTTTTGAGACAAACTTTCTGCAACACTACCTTCTAGCATCATTAAACAACCACTAATTCTTTACAATGCAATTAAAAATTGCTATATCAGTAGCCACATGCAGCCCTACACCGCCTATTTTCTTATACGACATGCATCTCGCAATGTCGAAATTTTATGTGAGTAAATGGTAATAGATGGTTAATCCTAAGCTCGGTGACGATCGAAATTCATTATATTAACAAATTAAAGATTCACCATCTGTCACATCCTGTTGCGTTCTTTTCATTGGTCAATCTGAGCAACTGCACACCTAAGGCCCTCCCCTCCCTTGTAACATAGCGTAACGACTGTCAACTGATAACAACAGTTAGTGTTAATGTTGGGTTAGTGGAGGGGTAGGTGAGCAGCTGCTCAGTCACTGACACTGATCCTATCTATTCACAATATCGTGATAAACGGAAAGGTTCCACGATTCTCAGTTATAAAGGAATTGATGCAGGTTTGGATCGGAGGGTCTAGTCACGTGTATGATAGCATTCAACTTTCGGTGGCATCATGAGAATCTTGGAAGTGGCTGAGAAACGTGCATGACGCACAGAGTCTAGGAAAAACGAATGATCATTGATCTCAATCATACTGACTAGGAACGGAATGACTGAAGGAAAAACTGAGGAAAATAGGTTTTGGTGATGAAAAAAACTTGAGGTGTCGTCGAAACAATAACAAAAGGGCAACACAAACGAGGACTATAACGAAGACAAAATTTTTCCCTTTCACTGATCGCATCAGGCTTTTTAACAGTTACAGTGACATTCAATTTTGAGTTGTTACCAAAGTTACTAAACTATCACAAAATATTTGGAGTTAAATGTAAAGTCTTAGTCGATTAACATCAGTAGAA